AGAGAGAGCGAAGAGAGAGAAGAGAGCTACTAGATCTAAGATCTCTCCTACTATCCCTCTCTCTCTCTCTCTCCTATCTCTCTCTCTCTACCCCTATCTCTCCCTCTCTCTCCTCTCTCTCTTCCCTATCGATCTCCCTCTCTCCTCTACTCCCCCCCCCCCTAGAAATGTGTGATTCACTTTCCTGACGTCCTTGTGACAGAAGTGATCAGAGTTTTCTTCTGAAAGGTTTGTGTGGGTTTTCACTTCCTCCGCCAAATGATGAAATTCAGATGGGGCTCACTGGGATATCTCTGATGTTGCATAACACAAAACAATGGGTTTTCTCCAAAAATGAGGACACCAACACTACTTCATGAACATTTTCTGCAACAATAAGAACATTTTCTCCAACGTTCTCAAAAAACATTCAGCTCCAACTAATACATGTAAAGCTGCATGGATCGATGGTTCTGTTCGAGGGAACAAAGACTATTATTTCAATAATGCTGTGATTTTTCAGAGTTACAGACTTCAGAGTTCAACCATGAGATTCACAGAGCTTTGGTGCAGCATAGTGGTGCAATAACATGTAGCATCATCATGTTCAGGTCGTCAGTCAGAGCTGCAAGGTCTGTATACATCTTGTGTGTTAAACATAGGTGAACTCTTTTTAAAACATGTATTCCAAGCACTCATTTTATCTGTATCTGACTTTCTTTAGATAAGAAGCTAAATCAATTTTTACAAACACTTAAAATAAAATGACAATGTAATGAACATTTTTAAGCTAATGGCTTTCAGAAAAAATGGTATTCATTTAGTAATTAAAGTTCATTATTAGTAATTTGTGGCTATTATTGTCAGACCTGCCTGCACTCTGAGCTCACCGAGGCACAACTTTTCTGACTATATTTGTAGTTATGGCAATTTATTTCATTAAACTCAGCTCAAATCAACCTAAATATAGCCTTAAGTAAATCAAATCCTTGGATCTGCTTTGATATAAAACACACACACAGTTAGAGAGTGTTATTGATCATTTCCAAGCCTCTGTTGCCTCCTAGTGGTTCGTGCTGCGCTGTGTTACAGTCATGCTTTTGGACAGTGATGTCATCCTAAATTAATATATATATATTTAGCAAAAGTCTCTAGATAATAATTACAAAAATTGCAGAAACTGACTAAGCTGCATTTATTTACTAAAAAGTATCATTATAAGATATGGTTTTACATTTATATTTCAGTGAGTGAGCTGATCATCTATAGCGCCATACATACAACCAAATGCTACATTTTCAACATTTGTTGTGATAAAAGTAAAACATCATACATTTGAATTTAGCAGTCAGATGATGGCAGGAACCACAGACTCTGATAGGCCCAATAGGGGGCAGCATCTCTCTCAATATGACTGATGGATGGAGCCTGTTATGATAATGGTTTTACTGATAAAGTACCCTCTGAAAAATAAAGTTAAACAGCTTCAGAGGATAGAAAAGAAAGAGACAGAAAAATGCTTCTCAACAAAGCCCAATCACATACAAAATAATTGAATGCAGGAGTTTCCCAATTACATGTTAACTAACATTCAAAACTGTGTGTAAAATCCACATAGCAAACAGATACATAATAGTAACTGATTTGAAAAACGAGTTGCTTTGTGGGAAAGAATGGCTCTTGCTGGTATATATTTGTCTCAGCTATGAGACCAGAGCATGATTGATGCTGAGACTATTTGTTTCAGCATTACATTCATAAAACCATTCAAACTTGAACTTTCGCACTAAGAGACCATGTTTTACTTCTTCCTCGAGTGAGACATGCACTTTTTCTTGAATTTTTAATGGATCCTAAAACATTTGTTTCCAGTTTGAGGTGCTTTTATTTTTTAGACATTATTAGAAACGCAGATGGAAAAAGCCAATATCTGTTTGTGTTAAAGGGGCCCTATTATGCTCATTGTCAGGTTCATATTTGTATTTTATGCCTCTATTCTGTGACATGCTTATATACTTTTGAGTGCTTTATTTTGTAACCACTTAGGGATGTCCCGGCCCTAAGCCTATCACGTACAATGTGTTAGCAAATAGAGAGGCGAAGTCCCGCCCATCTACTTCCGACCCATGGGACCTTATTTCGGAAAAAATATGTATTGAAGTCAATGGGGAGAGAAAGATTATCTTTCGATCCCGTTTGAATTGTGCCACGAATTACACATATGATGTTTGTCAATCTTAACAAATAATTTCCATGTCAAAAAAGTCACAGTTTGTCGTAAAACTGTTGAAATATAAGACTATGAAAAATAAGCAACTAGAAAGAATACAAATCCCAGAATCCCGGTCCCGCATGCTGGCTCTTACGGAACCGACTAACTCCCCTTTGGTGTATGTACAGTACAGCTCTCAACATGCCCAGACTTGTAGTGATTTTCACCTCTTTTAATACTTTTCGCCTCATTCTGAAAGAAAGAAGTGAAATGTGCCAACGTGACGGCCGTCTTGGTGTGTGGCGCGAGACGGGAGATGTAGTTCATTGAGCGGTTTCACACAAAAAAAGTGTTACTTCACAGTTTTACGACACATTTTAATTTTTTTGACTTGCAAAATTATCTTTTAAATTGACAAACATCATATGTGTAATTCGTGGCTCAATTCAAACGGGATCGAAAGATAATCGTTCTCTCGCCATTGACTTCAATACATACTTTTTCCGAAATAAGGTCCCATGGAGCTCGACCGGAAGGGGAGGGACTTCACCTCTCTATAGTGTTAGCAAATAGAAGCTCGAGTGAAATGTAGTGATGTCACTATGTTACGGAATTCAACAAAGGAGTCCAATTGAGACTTTCAGGGAGGGGGGTGGGGGTGTGTGGGAGAGAAACTCCCTCTGGAGGGAACTTTGGGATTCTGGCCTTTGTAGACCACGTACTGTATATGCACAAAAACATATATAACACACTACAGGAAAGGGGAAACCCCGAAAAGCATAAAAGGGCCTCTTTCATGTCACTGATGGTTGATGTGGAGCTGTAATCTAAACCAGATTATTTGTAGTTACACTGAGTCCTTAACGACCCTGAGGGAGCAACGTCTTCATTATCACTGCGTTTCTCACTGTGGTGTTACACGTGGTTGTTTACTACTTGGGAGGTCAGAGGCGTCTTATCCATTTTTTTACAAGATGTGATCACCCGAGAGTAGTATTACATGTGGTGGATGCTCATGTGGTGTGTTGAAGAGAAAAATAACGGTAAGTCTCTCCACAAGACTGCTTTGATCACACAGACATCATGTGATCTTCAACAGATCTGTGGCACGTGCTGACTGCTGAGGTTGTCTAACACGCTGTTTACACTATTTTGAGTCATGTGACACCTGAAAAGAGAGAGAAGTGACTTTATATGTGTTCTAAGATCGTGTTGTAGTTTGTATTGCTATTATGAAAAGCCTGTATGCTGCTATAATTAATCATTGGATTCATAAGTGCACATACAGTTCACAAACATTTATCTTAATTTATTGTTGACATCTGTGATAAGTAACAAGTTTAAGAAAAATACTAGGAGCTTACTATTTACAAGGCCAATAAGAACTTTTCATGCTGGGAATATAGATTCTTAGGAGAGTAAACATGTTTCAGTTAAATTACCTGATTTCAGAGTCTGTATCATATGAAATGTTCTTTGACTGTGGTTCCTGTTTATCAAGTTTGAGAAAAATATATCAAAGATAGCAATATTTAGTTGACACCCCTCGTCAAATTTGTCCAATAGCTCTGACGAATTCAAGTCATTATCACTTCTCAAAAAGTATACCTTGAGATATATTTGCAAGCATAAGGAGGTAAAACCATCTGGTATTTTTTATTTAAAAAATGCAATTAAATTAATAAAATAAATGTTTTATTTCCCAAAATCAACTTCAAATCGATTAAAGGAGTCTTAGCCTCCATGTTGCAAACCACTGTTTTGTGAATTTTCTTTAGATTCCATCAACTAGTTAATGTGTTTACTTGTGTAGGCTGTACGGTACATTTCTGACCTTGACTACAGAAATAACTGCACAAGTGTGTCCCTACAGATTTGTTTTCATATTCCTCTAGAGTAGGGGGAAATGTCTTTGAACCTTCCAAAGAGCTGAGATTCGAAGAGTCAGTGAGAAAGCTAAATTAGATTGCTACGTCACAAATGTGAAACAGCCAATTGCAACCGCCGACACACAGGAATACATTCAAAGCACCTGTATATAAATGAGTGTGCACAACACCCTCATATCCTGCAGCCTCAAAAGCAGAGCAACAGTTAGCATTATGTGTAACGCTTCCTTCCATTTCTTCCAAAAAAGTCCCACTAGAATGTAACAAGTTGTCAGCCACTGCCAATTGAAAGCTAGCAAGTTAACACAACAACATCAACAAATAAAATATGCTAACTAAACTTACCATTCTGATACACCTGTGAGCCCCCGGTATGGCATCACAACAAACTACACATGTCTGTCAAACACGTGTCTGGAAACGTTCGAAGTTTTCCTCTAATGTTGAAAATATATGTCAACAAGATGCGCATCCATAGACTGCGCACTTTATATATAAAAATGCATATGTGCGCATGATGCGCACATATGCATGCGCACTGCTCAAAGTAGCGCGAGCAGCGGTGGGCGGGGCCAGCGAGGGAAACATTTGGGCGTGGCTTCCAGCGACGATTGTTTCTAAGGTAACCCATCTTAAACACGATATCTATCATATCAGAGTATTTTTTATTTGTTTATGAAACCTGCCTGGCAGCAGACCTATTTACTCTTTATTGACATTTCTTATAGGAAATGTATGTTATGTTTTGTTACCTCTTGTCGGTGTCAATAATTAAAAAACAGATATGACCCTTGACAGTTTGTAAAAAGAAGCCTTTACATTATTTGGAATAAATTATAGCATGTTTTGCGGTGTTAGTCATTGCTTTACAGTTAATTCAACATGAATACATTGCATTGTAAAAGAGCCCGGTTGAGTCATTCAGGTTTGAAAATCTTGGTGTTTTATTGTAAGTATTGCATCTTCAACTTACACGGCTAGAATCATCATCAGACAGCATGTTTTACAAAGGATAGCCACAGGTTCAGAACAACAGGACAACTCCCCACGTGGGACTACTCGTTTTGGTTGGGCTAACATATTCCTCATGTAGCTGTTTGCTCAAAGCCAGATGCCAGAATAGAGTGTGATTTACAAAATACACTGCACATTCTGGCCAAGCTGCAAAACTGGGACTGAACCCTCCTAGAAAGTTAACCTGGACCATAGGACTGCATTAACTTAAAACACAGAGGTAAAAATATAGCTTTGTGATCACCAGTTTATGAAGATATGCTATTGTTTTGAATATGCAACATATAGCCAGAAACTCTTTGTCAGACATCCCAACTAACCTGGGCTGATCCAGGACCAGTCTGCACCTTGAGCTCAGTTAACTTTTTTTAGCAACATTTTTGCTGCATATTATGTGACAGTCCCAGAAATTATATTAGACACTGGCTATATTGTCTCTTTTTTTGGACAAATATGCTCCAGAAGTCTAATATTTAATGAGTAGCAGGTGGGAATCAGCCAAACTGAGATCAGTGCAGACTCGTTGTGGAGCAGGTGCCTCTCTAAAGCTCAGCCTTAGTAAGAACATAGAGCACACACGCACGCACGCACGCACACGCACACACACACACACACATTCATACACACACACACACACACACACACACACACACACACACACACACACACACACACACACACACACACTGTACACTCACATGAGAGAGGACAGACCTGGCCTCAGTAAAATCAGTTCTTACAGTTTGTTATATCCCGTCCGGGACTACAAGTTTAGACTAGTTTTTCCACATGAGACGATACAATGAGTGCCAGACAGTTTTCACACATTTCAGTGGTGAACAACAAAACCCATCACTATCAGAATCGCTCCACTGTGTTAAAAATATATTGTACTCCGAGCAGGTTAAAAACACCAATAGGATGCGATCCGGGTCTGAGTGGAATTCATTTTGTTGTCAAACACAGGACCTTTTTCCTGTCAGCAGTGCAGGTTCATGAAACCAACATATGAAGACCAAAAAAACAAAGAGTTGAAGGTTAATAACTTAAACAGGGGAAGAATAAATGTAAACTTTCCCTCAGAGATATATATATATATATATATATAGAGAGAGAGAGGACACTGAGGCGTTCTAAGGTGTTTTTGGCATTTGTTTTATTTAAATAGTCAAGCACCTGAAGCATTGACTTTCTGATTCAGTGCCAAGTCCAACAACCTCAACATAGCTCCTCAAAGAGCTTACATGTCAAACTCTACACCTTAATGACGTCCTTCAGGAAAACCAAAAGGATTTGTTCATTTTGTTGATTTTTTTCTTGAAATCCTCAGTCAGAGGCATTGAATTGTAAATGTAAGACACATTTTGTCAACTAAAACACAAGTCTAATAGAGACTACAACCCCTCTAATAGAGGAAGGTGGAGTTTTATACCCCTTTTATTGTGTAGTAGCTGGCTCAATTTGCCAGTAAAGTCTTGGCTATAGATAAAACCTTGTGAAGAGATGACCCCCACCCCCTCAGCACAGACCCTAAAACAACGGGACAGGAGAATTGATATACTAGTAGTGAAGAAGGCTGGGTATGGAGGGAAGCCATCTTGTCTATCAGGCTATCGAGTTGTTTAGGGTCTGCATGCATCATCTCAGGCATTGCGTGTTGTTGGGGGGGGGTCAACTGAGGACAAGGCTGGTGACTCTAAACAGACGGGGCTCAGCACCAGGAGCAGCTTAGGGGCCGATTACATTTCAAGTGTCCATTGAATAAAACATAAAATTAAAATAAAACGGCTACATTTCATATCCCGTCCCACCCACACCACCCCGAAAACAAAATTACAATAAGCCATAAAATATACTATTCTTAAAATAAGGAATGAGGAATAAGCATCAAAAGGAGGAGTACAATAAGACAAAACCAAAATAAGTTAACTTCTCTTTCCCCATTGCGTGTGTCATTTCAGGGATTGAGAAATAAATATTTTAAAAGGAGTTTTTTTTTTTTCCACATACAAAAGGATTCAGGTGAGCTCCATGAGAGAAGGACAGTGGGAAATAAAATGTACATAGAGCTGTGGCTGAAGTGCAATTCTTAATGCCAGTGGAGTTGGGATAGCGAACATTGACATCATACAACCCGTTTTTTCCTCCCTAAACTCCAGGCTTTCCCTCCACAGATCACCTGACCACGTTAGGAATGCCAAATACATCCCCCCCCAAAAGTTTTGACATTCACAATAAACACAGGTCAAACAGCAACAGAGGCAATATATTCTATCCATGAGCTCTAACTTTTTTTTAACTCCTTTGTAAGGTTTAATTCATTAAGCTATTTTTATGTACAAACAAAAGAAAATACATTTGCTTTTTGGACGGTCACACAGTCTTCATAGGGGAGAAGAAAAATAAGAGGAAGGGGGTTCAATCTGACGAGACAAAAAGGACTACAAGAGTTATTGCTTGTTACTGCTGGAAAGAGAATGGACATCTATTCCAAAGTTTGTTGTTGTTTGGACTTTTTCCTTGTTGCTGTTCTTGTTTTGTTTTTTGTTGGTTTGTGCCATTTCTATGGACAGCTCTAAAGTAGGCAAGTGCAGGATAGCTTGTCGTAGCTGCTTGTCGAGGGGAGAGAAACCAAAACAAAACACACAAGTTACAATTTGCACTCTTTAAAAATGCACTGAGCACCCACATTCAACAGGAATGTTGTTTTTTCCTCCATTTTTTTGGTTGTTTTCCTCCGTGCCTGGTTGGAAACAATCACTGCAGACACACTTTGTTTGCTTTAAAAGCTCTGTGGTGGTGGATCTGATCTGCTTTTCCCATTGGTTTGTTTCACAATAGCACCAATTCGAGTGTCCGAGCTTCTGCGGTGTCGAACAGAGGTAATGAAAAACGATAAGACAAGGACTAAATTCAGGCCTGAAGGGACGTTCATCAGGGCCAAGCTGTGCTGATATGGCAAAGTTCACCCACAGTGTTGATTACAGTCCAGATTAGATGTGCTGCCGTTTAACCAGACCCAACACCACAACGTTAAGAAGGGATGCACAGGAAACACACAGCCCACAGGGGGAAGAACCCTAAACTCTGAATTATTTCATATCATACGAATTTAAGTGCATTTCAAGTCAAATTCGGGGTTGTGTAATATTACAAAAATTCAGACATTTAAGAGTTCATCAAAAGCCAAAAGGTGAAATCAATCATTCATTTCAATTAGGTGGGTTTTAAAAAAACAGGATGATGTTTTTTTTTAATATATCAACCAACTCTGATCTCCCTTTAAAAGCAGATTAAAATTGATGGGCAGTTTCACATGGCTGTGTCTGTGTCCCGGGTGTTGGTCTTGGCGGCTCAAAGTTCAGGAAAGCTTTCAGTGGAGCTCCTCAGCAGCGCAGGAGTAAAGGGGGGTGGGGTGGGGGGGGGGGACTAAAGACTAGGAGCCATAGGGGGCGCTGCTGAGAGGCAGGAGCGACAGGAACGCTGTCAGCTGTGGCCGTCGTAGGCGGAGGTGACGGCGGGGGTGTGTGCACGTAGACATGGCTGGATGGAGAAACAGATGGGAGGGCCGGCGGGTTTGGCAGGGAGGAGATGCTGGCGGTGGCGGAGTGGGAGGTCTAGGAGGAGAAGGCAAGTTTGACACTGCAGGAGGAGTAGCCCTCGTCGCTGGCCATGCTCTGCAGGCTGCTGTGGTCGTCCAGGTCGCTGGTGCTGGCTATGCTCACACTGTCCAGCTCTCCATGGGAGAACTCTGTGCTTTCCACATCCACCTCAATCTCCTCTGCAGCCGCCAATGTAGAGATGAGCAGAGAGAGGGCGGGGGAAGAGAGAAGAAAGGGAATCATTTAGTCGAAAATATCATATTTAAGTGTAAAGATAATGGGGTTGCCTAAAAGTTAAGGCTGATGATATTCTATGTTTTTAAGTCAACATATCCCAGGAAAAGACCAAAACCAACTTCATTATTTACATCACTATGTTATGGCAGTCCTTGTTAATAAATATGAATCCAATTAACATGGTTCAGTTTAACTTTAGGTTGGAATGACATTAACTAAAGATTAATTTAAATTGTAGGTTTGATACTTTAACTAACCAAAGCTTTCTTTAAATCCTTTCAGAAAGCATTTTCATTTTACACCTTTATCCGGGAAATTTGTGTTGATTATTTTCAGCAACACCTCATTTCACAAACAGCCCCAGAGGGACGGGTACAACCTCTATGTGGTGTGAAAACCCCCAGAGCAGCTGGAGGTTCATAAGGCCTTGTACTCGCCAAATTAAAATCCTGTTTAAAGACTGCAGCGTCACTCACCCTGGTCAGAGTCGGAGCGGTCGGAGCAGAGGGTGGAGCCCACACTGTCCATGCGTATCCTCTCCCCCTCCCCTGGGCTGCTCTGGGCTGCAGCACCACTGCCCCCCCTCAGCAGCTCCAGCTGGCGCTGGAGGTGTCGCTGCTCCCGCTCCAGAGACTCCAGCTGGTACTGGCTCTTCCTGTCTGCATCTTCAAGTTTCTGCTCAGGAGAAAGAGAAGGGGGAGAGGGAGAAAAGGTTAACTATGTGTATCAGAGACCTTTTTATGGAGCGATAAATACGTGTGAGGGTGTGAAGGAGACAGCCAGATAAAAGTGATGAAAAGATATAAATATATGACTGAGAGGAGGAAAGCTGGAAAACAAATGTATTGTGCTGAGATACTGTAGAGACGGATGTTGTTGTCTGTTAAGAAATTCCTTTTATATCAAACATTTGTCAGATACCAAACACTGCCTGTTTGTTTGCATTCAAAGACTAAACCCCATGGTCTTCCCTCCTGCCAGCTCTGGAATGATTTCCCTCGCCCGCCTTGTTTACACCGTGTCCCCTCACTTACCTGCTGCCTGTGTTTTTACGCCCTGGTGCCATGACAATCTAAGCGAGGGCCGTGGCAGGGACTCATACAGCCTTGTTGCACTTCTAACCTTGTAGCCTTATGTCACGGTCGCCAATAGTGACGAGCGTGACTCACGGCGACGGACCAAAACAATAGGCCATCAATAAGAGATGGAGAGACTCAAGTTGACAGCAGCAGAAGTGCAGAGTGGTGACGGCAGTAGCGAGGGGGTGCTTACAACAACAATATCGTCTTTATGTTACGTGAATGCACGCTACGGCAGGCTTTTTCCATGCAGACTGCTCATCCTCGGGCAGTCACATGCCTGTGTTTTAAGTGGATGGGAAGGCGTGAAGCAGGGTGTCTTATTGTGTGATATGCTCAGGCAGTGATCACCAGTGACCAGCTGAACACTGGCTGAGGTTTGTTTGCATACGCACAGTTTATTGCTACGGGAAATGTTTTATATTTACACATCAACCACCCAATGTTGAACTATAAATATTTATAGATGTATTTAAAGTCTACCCTTCATTTAAACTACTTCTTCATTTAGAAACTGTAATGATCCTTAGAAGTCAATTACATTTGCAATCAAAAGCAAAGGTCAAGACAAATAAAATCCAATATCTTTTTATGGTAGTGCATTTGTATGAACATATCATTACCTTGACATTATATTATGTTGTTTTCAACTCTTTTGCAGTGAATCACAATCCTATTTTATATCGTGTAGGTCAAATGTATTTCAGATCCACCACTGTTCTTGCTATTTATCTTGCTTTAATAATGCATGTTCTATTTTCACACTGTGGTTCATATTCATGAGTCTTCAGCTCTGTGGGCTTTATCCCGTACCTTTATGTGTGATTTGGCTTTGTTGAGCAGGCCCAGGGTTGTGTGCCGGTTGCAGTCGGGTCCCAGGGGTATGAGGGCCTTCAACCGCTCGAGACACAGCCGCAGGTGAGCTCGCCTGGAGAAAAAAAAAACAGAAAGCGAAATGGAATGATTAGATACATGACCACGTACCGTAGGGAAGCGCTAAGGCCTGGGCAGTCAAATGGGAAATAGTAGATAAATGTGTTGCTAAATAGCACCTGGGAATTGCAATATGGAAAGTACTCACTAAGACACTATTTCAGCAGCTTCCCTGTGTTCATCTGTGCATTTCTCATTCACAGATAACAGGCTAAAGACAGATGTCAAGCTATCCACAGGACTTTACATCCAACCCTTATAAAAGCACCTAGTTCTGATCTCCTAAGGGTGGATTTTTCCCTTCTCAAAGATCTGCACTTGAGCAATCTGTCACCTTGGGATGCAGATGTTGTACTCTCACTTTGTGAGAATCCACCAGCTGCACACCGGCTCATGTATTGTAAATCCCCAGCTTATAGTTCAGCAAGGCAGCGGGATACATATGATTCACGTCTCGTGTAAGCCTAGAGACGATACATTATCCTCTGCAGGTATTTCTTGCACCCGGCTTTAGTTTCCCTTCTCGCCTGCATTACAAACAACACGTTTAAGCTGTGTGTGTGGGGGGGGGGGGGGCAGGGAGGAAAGGTGTAATGGCATTTCCTGGACCCTGCTCGGCTCGGACGTTCCATCATCTTGACAGTCCCTTATCCCTTGACTGCAGACAGGCCGGGGGTACTATCTATCCTGCTAATGGCTCCGAGTTGAGAGGTAAAGAGTGATAATTGTAGCTATAACACAATCAGTACTCCATTAGCAGGGGCTGCCCTTTCAGCTAGCCTGAAGGGAAAAGTGGAGAGACATTGAGAGCCGGTGGACTCAGTGGAGCCACCCAGGGCTTCAGGAACAATCTCTGGGGGAGCCCAAAGGAGACAAGCCCAGGGGACCAGGGCAGGAATTCACTGCACTGATTAGGCTGGGCCAGACTGCTCTCTGCTGCTGTCAGACTGGTGGAGACATGTGAGCACTGGTGTGTGTGCACGTCAGTGTGTGTGTGCGAGAGAAAGGGAGGTTCTGCTTTGCATGGATGGTGCTGATAAGAACCCAAGAGAAGAGCGAGCCATTGCTTAAATACAGTATGCCTGAGTGTGTGCTTAAACTACGTGACAAAGACAAGAGCTGTATGTCTAGGGAGTGAAAGAGGAGGCACCCTTATTTAGTCTGAGGTGCAAAAGGTTTGGAAGTCATAACACACATGTACACTAGAGCTGCAGAGATGAATGGATTAGTTGTCGGCTGTCAAAGTTATTACTTGATTTATCCTTTTGAAAGAATAAAAATACTACAATCTCGAATTCCAGCTTCTTAAATTTGGATATTTCCTTGGTCCTTACTCCGATATGACAGAAAACCAAATGTCTTTGAGTTGAGGACAAAACAAGACATTTGAAGATGTCATATTTGGCTTTGGGATACACTAATAGATAGATAGATACGATGTGGGTAAATGGTGAAACATCTTGATTGTTCTATCAATAACATGTCAGAAAATGCTGAACTGAAATTACAACTTACAGGACAATTCTTAACAGAATAGTTGATCAAAGAAATAATCGTTAGTTGCAGCCCTAGCGCACGTTTTTCAGCCCAGGGTTGGTCATGATGATCGGCTCGGTTCAGGTCATCTGTCTGTGTAATCAGTCCTATTAAAAAGGAGAGAGCAAAGTCCACCTTCTTTATCTGTGAAATGTCTATCTACGCTCGTCTCATCTGAACCCCAACATACACACGCGCTCGTGCACATAGACACAGATATCAGCCAGCAATTAATCACTTTCTACTCCTCTACAGCAGCCTGGGGGGGAACACACAGCTCCAACGGAAACACACCTAGGACACTCTACAGAGAGGACATGGCAAAAGATCTGTCTCAGAAATACAAATGATCTTTTGAACACTGTAATTACGATTAATACTCGATTGTGTGGAAACAAGGCATTTTACTGCAACGTTTGCTATGTAACCATTTTCAAATTAAGTAGGCCATGTACAGGGAACGTTTGCTGATAGGCCGATCAATTATTTATTATGCAGCTGCAGCTGACACAAATATAAATCCGCGTTACAGGCAAGAGCAAACACACACTTGGTCTTGAACATCCCTTGTTATCTCAAAAACTGTGTACCACCACTACATGCATGTGTGTGTACACTGTAGGGACATGTTGTACATTCTTACTTTTTCATTAGTTATACAAACATTTGTGTTCGTCACACAGGGGCACGGAGTGCCTGATAAAAAAAGGGCAGAGCAGGACACCCGGTCATGTATGGGCCTGTCTGTCTGTCTGGCCTATCAGGCGTCGGGTTAACAAACGCCAGACACCGGAGATCTTCTCCTCCACTCCCATCCAGATTAAAAACAACTATCTCAGCACACAACTTTAGATAACCTCCACTTACAGCCATTCCTGTCCTTATCCACCCCCCCCCCTCCCTCCCTCCCTCCCTCTCCTCTCCCTGACCCAACTGACATGACAAATGTACAGAGGAAGCAGGGGGGGTACGCTGACCGCACTGGCACTGCAGTATCAACACGTATCCGGCCCTGCTATGACCCGCTGAAATATGCCAATTATGGTTCTCAGTGCTAAGACTTCTATTGCTGAGTGCGGTGTAGGGCGTCACTTTTCAGGGTGCTGAATCAACACTTTTTGCAGAGTCAGTGTTAACCTCAAACACCCTAACACACCCATATGCCTGTGATGATGCGGAGGAGTCTCTCTCAGCACACCGAGTCCTGTTTATGTCCTTTTTCGCAGCTACCTCATGTGCCGTGTGAAGTGTTCTTGCAGAAACACATGCTCCTGGGTTGGCAGCATTCAAACACACTCTCTCTGTGTCTCGTATTGACAGACTGACATGTGAGACGTCTGCCTGACATTTTGGACTAATCTCTGGGCGCATGACATGCTCTGCTTCGGAGCACTCTGATAACTACAGGAGGTCAAAGAAGCCCTGAAAAGCATAAGAGGGAGTGATGGAGGAACAGTGTGTGACTGTGAGAGAAGCAGGAGAGAGAGAGAGAGTGTACTTATGTGTAATTCATGACCATCACATTGGGCTGCCTGCTAATGGGAAGTATAACAACTGGAGTCCTTTTCTTCCGCCTGCAAAAACCATTATGCCCTCAGAGCGTCGGGAAACTAAAGATAATGGCAGAGACTGCTTTATCATGTTAGTCTGTCCCAGCAGCGCTATCTCTAACTGTCTCACTAAGGGGTTAAAGGTCATTAGTTAGTAGCTACTGGTGATGGCCCCAGGACAGGTCACTAATCCCTGAAATGGTTGTTTACCATTTGGACCCACAGCAGAAGAGCTTAAGCCGTTTGCGTCTTACAATATGAGTGGCGGCTTGTGGCAATAAATACCAGCGCGCAGCCGCCAGAATCTCCACTCGTAGCCACGTTACGCAGCAACAGAGCCTACTGTTTCCCTGGGTGCTTAGAAAAGACCTATGCTGGTTATATAAACAGCAATGGATTTACTATGCAGCCCTATAACTTCCTGTCCTCAGCTGCTAAAGCTAACGGGTAGTAGAGCACACTTTCTTTACCTGTGACATCACAGGATGACAGGGCCGTGTCAGTAGGTTGATATTAATGTGGCTTTCAGATAGGGGTTAAACTGCTCACCTCAGAGAAGTGTCAAAGGCAGATATAATGGCAATAGCAGCTGATATATATTATTGGGCAATGAATGGCCCAATTATAAAAGTATTTCAAATAAAAATCACAAATGAAATTAGGGGTGTAGCTTGCAATAATGTTGACTCATTACGAATAGTGAAGGCTATTGCTCTGCCCTTTGTATTTCCAGTGTCCTAATGAATGGCACAGTGAGCTGCATGTTGCCTGAATGGGGAACTCTTCATCTGTGGAGGATTACATAACACGTGTCCAGTTGCTACCAGGACCTGTACGGCAAACTGTCACGCACAGCAGGGATATCAAATCCCTCCCTGACAGCACGACAACAATGGCAGAAAAGACTTGCTTTTCCTCGTATTCAGCGGTGCCCAGATTCCAGGGATGGAGCATTTAATAGCATGTTTCATTCTGGTTTTGTTTTGTGTTGCCTTGCGGCGTCACCTTAGCAAACAGCTGCTTCAGAAATCCCACACTCTCTGTTATTTTGAGGCGGTGTGGACTCCTTCATACAGATCCATTTATAATGTAACTGGCTTTTCAAAGGGAACCAAGAAGTTACATAGAATCATAGCGTGTGTGTGCCTCTTTTATCAAAAAGTATAATAGAGCTGTATAGACGGGAGATTTTGTTTTAATGGAAGATGGTCAGTTTTTCATACTTTTACCACACAATGAAGCCTCAATTCATGGCGGCTTGGTTCAGAAATGACCACAAATCTTCACAATTATTTTATCATTCTTTAATCAAAGATGCAAATATGCAATGCAAAATGTATGATTCCCGCTGATATTTCAAATCATATTGCATTACATTTATTTGAGAGGAAAAGGCAACTCAACTGGTGCATTGCAAATATTTTTAAATCATTCATAAATTCCCGCAAGAACACATTAAGGCGAAACATGTCTTAACAATTATGCAAAACCAGTTCATTTATCACCCTACATAACCATCAAATTAGGAGAATCAAAATCTAAAAGCACAACCTGCAGACACAGCCGGCCTTCCCTTTCCTCCTGGGACAATGGGGCGCTTCCACTCTACCAGTGTACGTTTGTGTGTGTGTGCATGTCTGTCTCATTCATGCTTGTGTGTGTGTTCCATGGTTTGTGTTCCTGATGGGCCCCAGATGGGTTCGCAGGCAGGCGGCTCTGCCTTTTGGCTTTGACATGTGAGCGAGCAGCCAGCCGGCCCCGGGTCACTGCACCACACCTTTCCTCCTCCTCCTCCTCCTCCTCCTCCTACCATCCTGACTCCCTGTGAATCACATGCACGACTTTCCTCTTCCTCCCAAATCCCACTGCTTTGTACGGTTAAGTAACAAGGAGAAATATTTATATCAAC